ATATGGATTCTCAGGCGCAGACCGCGTTTCCACTGCACCGGCACATAGGCAAAATAGCACTCATGTATAGCACTGAAAATTTTGTGCATCACAGGTTGCTTGTATCTTTTATGATGCCCACAAAGCCCATTGCCAAATGTGATAATGGGATTAGAAGGTCCACTCGTGAAGTGGGAAGAGGCATGCAGGTGTGAATGGGATTCGGGCCGGTCCTGTCCACAGGACAGGTTTGGGTTGTCTTATGTCTAGGGGATCGTGGGTCTCGGCTTATGTCGGGCTTCAGGTGGCTTCAGGCTTTGGGGCATAGCTTCATCGCAAAGCACTCGTTGGACCCCTTATTTTCGAATCGCTCACGGCCGAAGAGTCGTAGGAATCGTCGTAGGAAGGCATACCTGGCACGTCCATGAATCGATGATTCAGCTTGGAGTCACAAGTAAACTGCGAGCGAGCACCGACCCTCCTTGTAGCTGCAGGCAACTTCCTTTCTTCATCCGTTTGATGGCGAGTCGAAACTAGAAAGCAAAAGTTCGTGAGGCAGCCGGACGTCAAACTCATCAGCATAGCCTAAAACTCTAAATTGCCGTCATAACTCACCCACGTGCATGATTGCATGCCCGTTCAAACCCTTGACCGGCAGCCACAGTCTGGAATCTGTGATTCCGCACCAATATGATGATCTGAGTCGAATCTCATGCGGCAAGTTTGCAACATGGCACCTGCTATCGGTGTGCTGCACTGCAAGGATACTGAATCATTGAACTGAGAATCAAGCTTTTAAGAGCACACTGCACGAGATCGAACATGCATGGCATTCCACAAGTTCTACAGTACTGCATTGCTGCATCACTTTAGCAAATGAGAGCAATGTTTGGGCTGCATGTCATGCAGCAAGAAGCCACTGCCTGAATTTGGGTCTTCGGGCTTCACTTTGCTAGCAGAGCTGGATCCATCCGACCGAAAACACAAACCTCCGGCGTGCAATGGATCCGACTTTGCACCCCGTGTCTGACTCTTGCCAGACTTCTCACCTTCAAACGCCTGGCGAGTGCAAATGATCTCGCCCTGCGGATCTCTCTGCTCCTTTGAAGCCAAGATTGTCACGACCTGCGCATCATGACACGGGTGGCAGTTGAATATAATTGAATAAGTTACTACAAGCACACACACACACAATTATATATAGTATCAGAATGAATCCCAGCACATGTTTTGAATCTTGGCTTGCTTCCGGTTGCCTGCCTTCTCCTCCAGCCGCACGAAGGGCAAAGAAAGATGAACCGTTGTCGCACTACCACACCTCAAGCATTTCAGCATAGCTTCCAAACTGGCGGACCAAACGTGCTTCATTGCTTCATGCCTCATGCATCCGAGCTGCGCATTTGTGAACTGCAATGTTTTTTCGTATCTGCCGCTCGAGAACATCGCCGACTTGCTTGGGTCACTCACCTTCATGAACCATATCGGGCATGGTGCCAGACACGTCACCTTCTGGAAACCCTCCGCTGTCATAAAATACTTGATGGTAGTGGCTCCCATCACCACTGTTGCCACCTGCTCAGCAGACAATGAGAAAGATCACTATAGACTCGACTATAGACTATTGACTCATGATATTGATGACAAAAACTATGACTGACGACAATGTTCGATGGCCTGCAAGCTCTTGGGGCCACAATCTGTGGAGATGTTTCCGAAGCAATACAAAGGCTGACCAGCTAAGTCTTGCTTGATGTCCTCGCCCCTGATGATGGCACTGCCCTTGTTATCCGCATACAAGACGGACAACAACTTCTTGGATGATTCCTGCCTTAGATAGCAGGGCAAGAATTCATGCAACAAAAGCCGATAGGCAACTCACCCACCGCTATTTCAATACTTTGGTTACACATCTAGTCACAAAGGGCAGATCTGGCAGATGAGCGAACAAGGAACCATTCATCGATCTGAACACCCCCGTCCGGCGGGACATAGCAACAGAGTAACAGCTACAGCTGCAGTGAATTCGTAGACTCGCGCAAACAACTAAACCTGGAAAGTTCAACGAGATACGCAGCCAAAGAGATAATGTGCAGTTGGAGCTGAGCCTGGATCGCAAGCACATCCAAAACATGGAAGCCATTGTCCCCGGTCTTCTTAGTCCCGAAGTCTGCAGCCGAGCAAGCCGTGTAGATGGTTTGGAAAAACGGAAGCTGCGGTTGAATCGTAGTCGCCGAAGCACTTGAGTCTACTGCTTCGGCTTGGTGTGTCCCTTGCGGGATCGATCCCGCAGAAACCTCTTCCTTGATTTCTGCTTCTACACTGCCGCCTTCCATCAAGAGGCTCTTGGCATTCTTCCAAAACGACTTGGTGATGACCGATGAAGGTGGAGGCAGCAGCTTGCTTGCTAACACGTGCTCTGGACACGGTGCACCTTCCTTCTCATTGTCACGATCCTTTTGCTCCGTGGTCCGCAGCATTTTGCGCCGCGTTGTCAAGGCCCGTTCGAACACTTGGATCCACATCGCAGCCCACGTGTTGACACCGTCCATATTCTGGTTTTGCATCAGGAATCGTGTCTCCAACTCCATTATATATTCTTGCCCGTCCTTGCACAAATGCAAAATGATGTCGTAGAGAGCCCGCACGGAGTTGGGACCCAAATCCTCGAATTCAACCAAAACCGGCTCTTTTGATCCCGACCCCTTGTCCCTGGCATCTGTTCGAGTGTCTGGAATGACCATCATGACCTTCATGCACGTCAACATATACTTCGCTCGAGAAGTAATGAGGGTGGCAATGATGCTGTCATTCAAGGTCACAACCTCCCCGTGGTTGGAAGCCTCCTTCTTCGACACCAAAAAGCTGGCATCTTTTCCAATCTCTGCCAGGATCTCTTCCTGCCAACTGGAATCTGTTGACTACACACATATAACCTAGCCACGAAAGCCACAGGCTCCAATTTTGCAACTCAACTCAACACGCTAGTTCACGAGTCCTGACTCTGGCTCGCAGTTGAGTCGGCCGCTTTATCCTGCGACTCTTGTGCCTTTGCTGCTTCATCGTGCACCTGTGCCAGCTTGGATGCCACGACCATCGCAGCCGCCCCAAGCGATGGCACGGAATCATCAATGACCGCCTCAGTCTCCATCAATTTGGTAAAATGCCAAACCATATCCTGCACCGTGTGCAGAGAATCGTGAAAGTCACACTTCAAGTTGGGGTTCCAATCGTCCTTTGTCCGTGGGCAAGTGCAGAAGCCAGCTCGAACCTTACTCAAGCACGCAGCGAAAGCGGGGTGCTTCGAGACCTCCGGCGAGCTGTTGGTCACAAGGAAATCCTTGCACAGCTGACAGCTGCGCTTGTCATGCAGAATTTGCTTGACTGAGTCTGGCTGAACGACCTGGGACGGCGCGCCAGTCAACCGTCCAGCTGATCCCGAGCTCACCTCTGACATCATTTTCTGCAAAACCTGCTGCATGTCGAGTCCACTAGACAAGGTCTGCTGCTGCTGGCTTTCCGTGAGGGCAGCCACGAACATGTTCTGCAAAGCCGGACGGACCTGAGGATGAGGTTGGGAACTCACAAGGCAAGGACCAACAAACACAAAGCCAAACACACACATGCAGGGACATGGACCAATACATTGACACAGTGGCCTGTGACCACACCTTGAGCGGCTTTTTGCGGAGCACCACCGTGCCGGAGCAAGCGAACTCCAACCCGAGGGAAAGGACTACCGCTCGCATTGTCTTTGTGGCTGGCGAATTCTTGAACAAGGCATAGGGGCCTGTCAGGCACCTTTCGACAGCACTCAGCAAGTCGTCCAACCACAGCCTTTGTCGAGAGCCCTGCCCGTGTCCCTCTGCATCCGTCTCCTTAGCACCGCCCTTAGCGCTCTGCGCCTGGTCCTGCTCACTACAGCCTACTTCTGCCACGTTGAAGTCGATGCAACCTTGCAGGTCCTGTGTGGTCTCTGCATCGAACTGCAATGCCTGCGCTTTCGCTTTGGCTTTCGATTTGGCCTTGGCCTTTCGGGCCGCCTTTTTTGGAGCTGCGTCAGTCGAGAGGTCTGGCACATGCGCTCGCTTCTTCTTGTCACTCGTACCCGTGCTTGCACCAGCCGCCGCACTGGCTTTCTGGGTGACTTTACGAATGAAAATGGCTCCTTGTATCGGGCAGCTCAACCTCTGATGCGCATGGACGTACACGGCGGATTCTGGCGTCTTGCCGAAGAGGAACGGCGGTCGTCTCCCTCCGGTGGAGGAGTCAACCGGCAACAATGGGACCTTGCAGCTTCACATGTTGAAACGAAAACAGTTGCAAAACACAGCATGAACATGAGAGTGTGCACACACGCACCACAAACCATGATCTGGGAGTCCACACGCAAAATTTGCAAAGTTCAAAGAGCACTGCCCCCAGAAGTTCTGTTGATTGTCCGGCGAAACGGTTTTCCAGGAATACAGCATGACCATTCATCGTGGAAAGAACGGTCTCTGCCTTTGGCATATCTGTATTCATAAAGTCTGCAAACTCCCCCATGAATGATTCGAACTCGCTCAGAATGGAGAAGCTTGCCAATTTGTTCCTCAAAGCCCTCGAGGTTTTGAAGCTTGCGGTGCTGTACCTCTCCTCGACAGGAATGCAGGCCAACAAGTGCGTTTGCATCAAGACATTATCCGAACTTATATAGGAGGTCCTTGTACTCCGAGGCATTCAGCCACGAGTTGAACTGCTCATGATAGTTGCTGTTGCGACTGGTAATGCTGCTTCTGTCGGCGAAAGCACGCCATGCCTGCTCGGATTTCGGATTTGCCCATCAACCAGCAGCCTATCAAGTAACTTATCAACAGCAGGCTGCATGCCTAGCCAGCCCTCCAAACAAGCAGCCTCATCAACTTCACACACACCAGAAATCATCTCGATGAAGTTGATGGCCCCACCACCATGAAATTGATTGTTGACATCCTTGAGGTACCTTACATCAGCACTGCAGTCTCAACAACTTGACTGTAGCAACCAACCCTCACGCACTCGCGCACGCAGTAACTTCACTCATATACAAGGACAGAAAGCTGAGTGGGACACGTGATGACATCGGGGGGTGTGCGGGCATTAAAGACCCGTGCCCGCAGACCATTCGCCCGCGTGGCCTGGACCTGCGGGTGATCGCCGTACTCTTCGTCGCAATCATAGAATGCCTCACTCCTGCCCAGAACTGCCCACGCACCGCATCAATCAAGCAGGAACACAACCACGACCGCCGGACAGGAAATATGCCAACACAAGCCGACTCAGCCCCAGACAAGGTCCCAAATGTAATCGCTTGATACGGCATGCCAGGAGCACTGGGTTCGATGACCCAGCACTCGCCTCTGCACCCCTCAAGAATGCCGTATGCCAATATCGATCGTTTGTAGGATGCTCTCACCGAAAGTTGCTTCCGTTGATTTAGTGAATGTCTCACGATGTTGCGCGAGCCATCACTTTGATAGAAGTCCAGCTTCACCAAACCGCCGTCTTGGCACTGCTGCACCTGCGACATGACACGCTTAAGTTCTAGAGCACGGCACACATGTTCATGGATATGCTGCATCAGCAGAAGCCAACATGCACGGAGCGGTGTCTTTCAAGGCGCCTGATACATCTTCCATATTTTGTCTTGTAGTTCGCGACCTTTTATATTCCCGAATCTCTCCGATAGGGATCGCTGACCCCACAAGGCGTCCGATGCCGCTTGCACGTTCATGCCGGCGCCGCTCATGCCGCAATCTGAAATTCCAGGTCTGAGAGTATGGTTGTCCTGAACTCACTATCGCCGTCACTACCATTCTGGCTTCCGATTTCGAACTGAGTCTATGCGAAACTGGAACATCCGACGCAGTCCTTGACACAAGCAACTGCCCAGTCCGTCGCGAAAGGCCGCAAAGGATCAAAGCTGGATGCTCACGCTGCGGTAGGCACTTGGCATGGACGGCATGGATGCGTGCGGCAGGCTTCAGGCCATGACCATTGTAAGGCGAAGTTTCATCTCAACACCGTCCGAACTGTTTTTTGCAGCGTCACCCACCGTCAGCATCGAAGCTTGCAAATTTCCGGAACTCAAAAACGGTCACCATGATACACCGCGTGCATCGCAACTGTGGACTCTGCGCTGACTCTGACTCTGCTTTAGTTGCACTAAGGACAACAATACATGATGTTGATGCTCCTGCTGAAGTTGATGATGACGACGATGATGAAACATATATAGGATGAGTCTAATCTTCGTCTAGAAATCTAGGCTAAGAGGGTTGCTTCACGCAATGCCGCAATGCTGTATCATGATTCCCACTGTGCATTCAGACGCCTTGCCAAATTAGCAAGTGTCGACGTCAAGGCCTTGGGAGTTTGCACCGGGACTTCCAAACAAGCGAAGAGAATTGCCACTGCACAGTTCATGCAGTGCATGCTATTTCCCGCCTGTCCAATCCTAGCTGTGCGGGACTCTGGCAACTTCCGATCAGGCACTGCGAAACTGCACAGGGCGACTCCCTGACTCAAGTCTGTCTTCACGGGGAATGACTGCGCAAGCAGGGCTTCGGAAGCCAGAAGCCACCTCCCATGTGCATCTGACCTTAGGTATGCAACATAACAACTTCACAACTTCTCTGGAACCATAGACAATAGACATAACAACAGCACAGGAGCCACACAACCTTGCCACAACCTGACTGACCTGCAACTTGAAGGTTGCAAAACTACAACACTCGACAAAAAAAGAACTCAAAACAAATCAACCAACAGCTAACAAGCTCGAGTGCGGACAGCACACCAAAGAACTCCGGAATTCTTGATCAGGGTCTGGAGGTGGGAAGCATGACTGGACGTGAAAGAAAATGACGGATCCTGGTTGAGGGCATAGACATTGTTTGGCCTCTCTGTCCTGTAGTGCAACAGAAACTCAAACTCTGACGCGGTCAGGGATTCGACGAAGGCCCTTCGCACTGCTTCTGGATTCGTTTCGCATGCGCTTGCAAAGTGAGCCAGGTCTGGGAAAGGGCAACCATCCTCATGCAAACGGCTGTCCGGCCGTCCGCATGCCCAGCAAAGCTCCTCGTAGATCTCGTCCAAGTCTGCAGCAAAGTACATGTCCCATGCTGGCACTGCCGAGTCACCTGGGATTCGGTGATCTTGGAACATTTTCACAAAGATATTCCAAGGCGTCGTCCATGCTTTCGTCTTGTACTTGTGGCGAAGAATCGACCACTTGCGGGGCCTCGAGATTGCAAAGCCGTAGTCCTTTGGAGACATCATGGCATACTCGATGTGGTAGACGTGTCCAAGGATGCGCACCATCTCGTCAGAAGCAAAGTTCTCCACATTTTCCTGGATCAGCACTGCCTCCTGAAGGTCCAACCTCATGCTGCACCAGCACAAAAAGTACTGGTAAGTTGGCCCGCGGATGCCAGCCATCTTTCCACGGATCGATGCATCCGTGCACGGCGTGCCAGCCACATGCAACCGGCACGAGGGCACCTGCTAGGAAGTGAAGTGCCGCTGACTTGCCCTCAACACACACGCAGCACATGCATACATGGGCACATATGTATGTACATACAGACACCAGTACACATATATATACATACATACATA